AGTTCAGGCCAGCGTTTCGACGCGAGCTTAGTTCTATCGGTCCTGCATTGGATGCCTGACCATCGACAGGTGTTAGCGGAGCTGGGGCGGATGTCCGAGCAGATGTTTATCGAAGTGCCTGAGCCAGATGAAACAGCCGTAGGGTTGGACTACGTCCGGCGTGAGATTGGTCGAATCGAAGTGTATCTTCGAACGCAATTCCCTACTCGAAGTGTCGAGCTACTCGGCGAGGTCGACTCTCCCCAGGGTGATGCCTACTCCCGTCGCTTGTGGAAAGTTGGCCCAGCAAGCAGTGAGGCACAATCGCAGTCTCCCGGATTAGATATAAATCAACTTCTGTCAATGCGGCCAAGCTGGCCTCGACGCAGTTGGTGGGAGCACCAACTCGCAGATGTCCACCCCTGCGAAGATCGCGGGACTATGCCGAGCGGCGCACTCGCGGTTACGGCCGCTGGACTCCGCTCCGCGAGTGAACTTTCGCAGCGGGATATCGAACTCTGGCGGTACCGGTTCGGGAGATTGCCTGAAGAGCATCTCGACAATCGGGCCATGCTGCTCCTGCGTCGAGCCCGTCGCGCTGCCGCGCGGCTATGCGGAATCTGATACGCTCCGCGTCACTCAGTGCCGGCCGCGTCCAGCTTTGGAAGCATGGTATTGGGCATTATGAAACGCCCACAGGACAATTCCAGGCGGGGCATACAGCGCGGCCCGTTCGATCCACATCCGGCCGAGATCTGCCCAGCTCATCGAGTCTCGCCAGTACATCTGCTTGGTTTGCAGAGTGCTGCGGAGTGTATCGCGAACTCGTTGAACTTTAATCGCTCCCCGATGCACTCGATACTGAAGCAATGGTTCGGGCAGGTTGGCAAACCGCTTTCCTTCTCTTGCCAGTCGGCTCCAAAGCTCGTAATCCTGGGCAGCTCGTTCGGGGTAGCGATAGCCTCCAGCTTGAACTACGGTTTCCGTGCGAAACATTACGGCAGGGTGGGCCATGGGGTTGAATCGCCGCATTGCCTCAACGATCGAGTCGTGATCGAGTGGATAGCTTCGCCCTCGAACCGTACGGCCCGATTCATCGATGACTTCAAGCTGGCTGCCCACGACGTCGACCTCCGCGTGCTCTTCAAGCCATTGGGCCTGCTTCTCGAGTCGATCAATGCGGGCCACGTCGTCCGCATCCATGCGAGCGACGAACTCCCCCCGGGCTATGCTTAGACCGTGGTTTAACTGGTCCACCAGCGATGTTGGGTTTTCGAGCACGACGTGTCGAATGCGATCGTCCTCAAACTGCGACAAGATTGCAGCCGCAGATTGGTTCGCTGGGGCCTCCACAACGAGCAGCTCTAGATCGGCGAAGGTTTGCGAGAGAATGCTCTCCACCGCCGCCGCAAAGTATTCCCGGTGTGGGTTCTTTACCGGCATCAGAACGGTCACGGTTGGTGCAGAACTAACCATCGCACGCGAATCGAATTCGAAGTTGGAATTTCGGGTTTTCTAGAGGTCAGCAAATCGTGGATTCACTGAGCTCCCTCAGTGGATTCGTGTCTACGGGCGAACGAGAACAGGATTCCCCCGACCAACGCGAAAAGGACATTCACCGCTAAGACTGCCAGTGCAAATGCTGCCGCTGAGGTGCGATCGACCCCCAACTGCGTCAGCATCAATACCACGACTCCTTCCCGCACGCCCAAGCCGTTGATTGAAATCGGTGCCGACGCAGCGATGTACGACACTGGCAAAATATAAATGAAATTCTGCCAGCCCACGTCGAGACCCAGGCTTCTTGCCATGGCGAAAGCCGCGACGACGTTGAACATCTGGGAGGTGAATAAGAGCGACACGGTTGCAATGATGGTTGAGGGCCGTCGCAGCTCATGAACTGCCAGAAACAAGGCCCCCCACCGCTCAAGCACACGCTTCACCCAACGATGTCCGCGAGCACGGCGTGTGAACGACTTTGGAATGCGAACCACGGCAGCGAGGATCAACACTACGGCCAAGGCGATGCTAACAATCGCCGTGCTGCCTGCTACCTCAACAGAGGCTGGCGAAAACGCGGGAACCCCAATCGCGATCAATCCCAGGGCGATGACTAACGAGACGCTTCGCTGCAGGACAACTCCCACTACGGCAGACGAGCTACTGTCGATGCGTCGCCCGATGGCCAAAACCTTATAGATGTCTCCTCCAAAGTTGGTCGGGAGAAAGTAGTTGAAAAACACTGCTTGAAGATGAATGCCAATCATGGTGGCCAGTTGAATGGCTCTTCCCAGCGATTGAAGAATGTGTCGCACGGCTGCCACGTTCATTACGATGGCCAACGAGTAGCCGAGCACAGACAACAGCACCCATTCGACTCGAATGCGGGGCAGCAACTCGACGAACTTGGCAGGCTGAACCAGCCACACCAAAACGAGGCAAAGCAGCAGGCCGACGCCGGCGCGAATCCAAAGAAATAGTTGTTGCCTCGTCACTTGATAGGCACCGGTGGGAACAGGGGCCAGCGCCAGGGTAGTTCGTATGCCGAACTTCCGGGCTGGGGGAATCGCGTCCGTAGGCTAGGTTGCCGGATAATGAGCGTCAAGCGATCTCGAATGCACAGCCGACGGTCGGCGATCGCATCGCCAGAATGACATCATCCGGCTGGGAACCTATACTCGATTGGAAGCCGGTTTTCGTCCCCTTGTTGCCAACCACCAGGGCAGTTCCTTGTCTTCACAAGTTGAGCCCACGACCACGCGAATCCCCGAGCCGCTGATGAGCGACGTGTTATGGATCGTTGTGCCAGCTTACAACGAGGGACCTCGTATCGCGAAAACACTTCAAGAGCTTTCCAGCGGCGGCCTGCAGAACATCGTCGTTGTCGACGATGGTTCGACTGATGGTACCGCAGCACTCGCCTCTGAGCAGCATGTCTGGGTGTTGAGGCACTTGTTCAATTGTGGGCAGGGTGCGGCTTTGCAAACCGGAATCGACTTTGCTTTTGGGCGCGGAGCCGAAACGATTGTTACCTTCGATGCCGACGGTCAGCACAGGCTGCAAGACATCGACACGCTCATCGAGCCGATTCTGCGGGGCGATGTCGACGTGGTGTTGGGCTCCCGCTTTTTGGGCCACGCCGAGGGAATCCCAGTCGCTCGGAGAATGGTGTTGAAGTTGGGGGTGCTGTTCACGCGGTTCATCTCGCGGGTAAAGGTAACTGACACGCATAATGGCCTGCGGGCCTTCTCGCGTTTGGCCGCCTCGAAAATGCGCATCTCTCAGAACCGCATGGCGCACGCTTCCGAGATCTTGGATCAACTTCGCATCTTGGGTCTGCGTTACGTCGAGGTGCCGGTGGGGATTCGGTACACGGCCCAATCGTTGGAGAAGGGCCAGTCCTCTTGGAACGCGTTGAAGATCGCCGGGCAGTTCTTACTTGGGCGGATGTTGAAATGAACACCTTTCAGATTCTCGGCCTGACCTTCTTGGCGCTCGTCGCCATTCGAACCGTGGCCACGATGTGGCGTGTTGCAGGGTCGAGATATGGGGCACTCCTGCGACTGGCCATTACCGCCGCCGCCGCGATTGCCATCGCCGACCCCGACGTGGTGCAGCGCGTCGCTACGGCAATCGGCATCGGGCGCGGTGCCGACGTGGTGCTGTACAGCTTCTCGCTGGCTTTCCTGGCTTCGACCTTCTACTTCTACTCCCGATATATTCGCCTCCAGCAACAGGTGACCGAACTGGTCCGGCATTTGGCCATTGTCGAAGCTCGACGGGGAAATGCAGCAGAGTCGGGTTCCAATCTTCCGGGACAAGATTAGCAATCCCAGCAGTTGTGGCTAATCTTGAGACCATCGAGGGCTGGAGAGGCAACGGCGAGTGGTCAAATGGGCTATTTACCCCCAATTGACGCCCCTGGGCCGCAGCGGTAGGATCATGGGCTTTGCTCGACTTTGCACGGTCCAATGTTGGGTGAGATCGCATGTTGCGAGCCTTTGGCGGTCTTCGCCGGGGAGAATTTCCGTTTTTTGGCCGAACTTGGGTCCCAACGCCGGACACCTTTCTGTAAGCGAACAGAGAGGGCTTCGCCGGTGTGCCTTCATCAAGGAGATGGCAGGTGTCGACCGTATTGGTTAAGCAGTTGATCGAGTCTGGCGTGCATTTCGGCCACCGTACGAGCCGGTGGAACCCGAAGATGCGGCCCTACATTTACGCTCGCCGCAACCTCATTCACATCATCGACGTCCGCGAGACGATCCGTGGTTTGCTGCGAGCCCGCAAGTATCTCAAGCAGGTGGTCGAGAACGGCAGTTTGGTGCTGTTCGTTGGTACCAAGCGTCAAGCGGCCGAGACGGTCGAGCGTGAAGCCCAACGGGCCGGCATGCCGTACATCAGCGAGCGATGGCTCGGCGGTACGCTGACGAACTTCCGTACGATCCGTAGCCGACTGACCCGTTTGGAAGAGCTGGAAGCCCTTCGCGAGAGCGAGGAATTCAACAGCTACTCGAAGAAGATGCAATCTTCTTTGAATCGCGAGTATCAGAAGATGCTGCGAAACCTCGGTGGTATGCGGACCATGAACCGTTTGCCCGAGTGCATGATCGTCATCGATCCTCGGAAGGAAAAGAACGCCGTGAAAGAGGCCCAAAAGCTGGGCATCACCACGGTCTCGCTGATCGACACCGACAGCGATCCCGATACGATCGATCTGCCGATTCCCGGCAACGATGACAGCATCCGTTCTATTGAGTTGATTCTGAGCCAACTCACCGACGCAATTTTGGCAGGTAAGCAAGCCTCGCTCGGCCAGGCCGAAGGTGCGGATGCTTCCCCTGAAGCTGGTTCGGCCGAAGACAAGGCCGGAGAAGCCTAAGCATCGTCCAAGAAGCGTGGCCGCCAGGGAAAGGCCCACCGACGTGTTGCACGACCCCCGCATTCGCAGCAAACAATTGCGGGGTGGTGCACGTAATTCATACATAGCGACTGTTTGATGGAAAAAAAGAGGAATCGTAACGATGGCTGAGATTTCAGCGGCAACTGTTAAACAACTTCGTCAGCAGACTGGGCTGCCCATGATGGAGTGCAAGCGGGCACTCCAGAACTCCGGTGGTGACATCGAGGCCGCCGTGGAAGAGCTGCGCAAGCAGGGCAAAAAGACCATGGCCAAGCGGGCCGACCGAGAGACTTCCTCGGGCCGGATGGCCATTTCGGCCTCGGTCGAGAAGGGCACCGGAGCCATGATCGAGCTGCAATGCGAAAGCGCCTCGGTGATGGTCAACGAGGAATTCGTCCAACTCGCGAACGATCTGGCCCAACAATTGGCCGAGGGGCCCGGGGTCTCTACGCCGGAAGAACTACTCAAGCAGCCCTCACCCAGCAAGAAGGGCGAGGCCCTGCAGGATCAGTTGGAAGAGTTGCAGAATCGTATTCGCGAGGTGTTCCGCCTGACTCGAATTGTGCGTCTCGACGGGCCCTGCGGCGGTTATGCCCATCACACCGGCGAATACGGTGTGCTGACCCAAGTCGAGGGTGGCGACCAGCAGACGGCCAACGATGTGAGCATGCACGTGGCCGCCATGCGACCGAAGGTCGTGGCCATCGAAGACCTGGATCCCGCAGACGTGAAGAAAGAGCGAGAGATCCTCAGCGAGGCCGCTCGTGCCGAAGGCAAGCCCGAGAACATCATCGAGAAGATGGTCGACGGTCGGATGCGTACCTACTACGAAGCTCAAGTCCTCAACGAGCAGCCGTTCGTGAAGGATGACAAGCAGACTGTGAGCAAGTACGCTGCCGCCCAAGGTGCAAAGATCGTGAAGTTTGTGCTGTGGCGTCTGGGCGAAGGCGCGGAAGCGGCTTCGTAAACGAGGTTGCCGTCGCTCGTTACTCGCGATTCGTGTCCCTTCGAGAAGGATCAAACGCATGACGCCTGCCGACTCCAGTGAACCGAAATCGGGAAGTTCCCGACATGCCTTCAAGCGTGTCGTGCTGAAGATTTCTGGCGAGAGCCTCAGTCACGGGGGCGAGCGCGGCATCAGTATGAGCGACTTGGTCCACATTGCCGAGGAGACCAAGCAGGCAGCCCTCTCGGGGACCGAAATTGCGATCGTCATCGGCGGCGGGAACATCCTCCGCGGGGCCCAGTTCAGCTCGGGCCAGTCTCGGGTACAGGAGGCCACGGCCCATTACATGGGGATGTTGGCCACGGTAATCAACGGGCTGGCCCTGCAAGACGCCCTGGAGTCGATCGGCTGCGAAACTCGCCTGCAGACGGCGATTCGCATGGAGGGGGTCGCCGAGCCCTACATCCGCCGTCGGGCTCGTCGCCACCTGGAGAAGGGCCGGATTGTGATCCTCGCAGCCGGTACCGGTAGTCCTTTCGTTACGACCGATACGGCCGCCGCCCAACGGGCCCTGGAACTGGGGGCCGACATTCTGTTGAAGGCCACGCGAGTGGACGGCGTTTACAGCGACGACCCTGAGAAGAACCCCCACGCCGTGCTGTATGACGAGTTGAGCTATAATGAGGTTCGGCAGCAGAATTTGCGCGTCATGGATTCGACCGCGATTGCCCAGTGCATGGAGCACGACATGCCGATCCTCGTGTTCAACTTTCGCAAGTCGGGCAACATCGCGCGAGCGGTGCGGGGCGAACGCGTAGGAACGATGATTGGAAGCGAAGAGGTCGGAGCCGGTGATTCCGACTCTCCGCAAGAAAGGTCGAAATCATGAGTCGTGACGAGATCCTGCTCGATGTCGAAGAGCGGATGGAAAAAGCCGTCGACCACCTGAAGCACTCGCTCAGCGGTATCCGCACCGGTCGGGCCAACCCCGGTCTGGTCGATTCGCTTCGGGTCGAGGTCTACGGTTCCGAAACGCCCATCAAGCAGCTCGCCACGATTGGTGTTCCCGAGCCGAATCAGATTCTGATTCGTCCTTACGATCCCAGCACGATCAAGGACATTGAGAAATCCATTCAGGCCAGCGAGTTGGGGTTCAATCCTCAGAATGACGGCAAAGTGATCCGATTGATCATCCCGCCGCTTTCCACCGAAGTGCGGCGAAAGATGGTGAGCCGCATCAAGGAGCTTAGCGAAGAAGCCAAAGTCTCGGTGCGAAATATTCGCCGCGAAGGCAACAAGCTGGCCGACCAGGCCCAAAAAGACAAAACGCTCACCGAAGACGAACGCGACCAATTGAAGGACGAGATCCAAGAACTCACGAAGAAGTACGAAGGGCAAGCCAACGACATGGCTAAAGCCCGTGAGACCGAGGTCATGGAAGATTAGGCGCAGCGAATTTCACAGAATCTTCATCCCGAGAGCCAGCCGCCGCCCAATTGGGCCATTCGTCTTAACGCCATTTTCATAGATCTGTTTAGCTCAGGGACCGAGCTTCCCCCAGGGTTTTCGAACCGCTACCGTTGTAGACCAAGCTATGCTTGTCGTACCGAGCTAAAGGGTATTTCCAATGGATAAAGGACGCCGGAAGGTGTTGATTTCCTTGTCAAAGGCCGCAGTGGTGGCAGGTGCAGGTGGCTCGGTATTGCTGGGCGGCTCGCCCATCGCAGGCGGAACCGAGGTGGCCAAGAAGCAGTCGGCCTCGGATCTGGTCAACAGCGACCGCGTGTTGATCATTGCTCACCGTGGCGACAGTGGTTCGCATCCCGAGAATACCCTTCCGGCCTTCAAGTCGGCCGTCGAGATCGGCAGCGACCTGGTCGAACTCGACTACGTGCATACGGCCGAAGGCACGCCGCTGGTTATTCACGACAAGACCCTCGACCGCACAACCGATGCAGTCTCGCAATGGGGCGGCAAGAATATCCTGGTAAAGAAGAAGACGCTGGAAGAAACGCAAACTCTCGATGCCGGGAGTTGGTTCGATCAGCGTTTTGCCGGCACGAAGCTTCCCACTCTTGATGAAGCCATCGACGTCATTCAAGACGGCTCGACGACTTTGATCGAGCGGAAAGGTGGCGACGCGAAGACCTGCGTGAAGTTGCTGAAGGAAAAGAACCTTATCGACAACGTCGTGGTTCAATCGTTCGACTGGCGATATCTGCGTGCCTGTCGAAAGCTATCTCCCGATCTGGTGCTGGGAGCCTTGGGCTTCAATGAAGTGACGCCCCGCAAGATCGAAGAAATCGCCTCGATGGACGTGCAGGCCATAGGCTGGAGTCACGGCGATTTGGACCGTCGCTGGATCGACGAGTTCCACAAGCGTGGGCTTAAAACCTGGGCTTACACCGTGGATGATCTGAAACGCGTCGACGAGCTGATCGACGCCGGAATCGATGGGATCATCACCAACCAGCCGGCTCTGGTGAAGGCCCACTTGGCCAGCCGCTAAGCTCTTGCTGTTTGGTGCTTATGGGGCGCAATCGGCTGGATTGCTAGCACTCAAATGTCGCGTTGCTACCGATCTTGACCCGTTTTGGGCCCATTTCTATACTCCCCGGCCCGTTCTCGCTGCAGGCGAAGGATGCCTGCAACCAGCCGCGAAATTAAAGTGCTTAGGAGATCCGCGATGGATCGCGTTGAATCTCGGCCCGTGATCAAACGTACTTGGCGTTTGGGCCTGTTTATCGGCAGTGTTCTAGTGCTCGTTGCCTGCCTTGGTGTGCGGTACGCTTGGCGAGCCGATGAAGCATCGGCTCAATCGCCTTCCACCGCCTCAGCGCCAGTCGCCCAATCGCAGCCCAAGCTCAATATCGTGGCCTTGGTCAACGGCGAAGAGATCAGCCGCAATGACTTGGGGCGTCAGTGTCTGTGGCACTTCGGTGAAGAAGTCCTCGAGAGTGTGGTGAACCGCCAGCTCATCGAGCAGCACTGCCAAGAGATGAACATTCGAGTCTCGGAAGCCGACGTTCAGGCCGAGATCCATCGTGTGGCTCAAAGCTTCGGTCTGCCCGTCGATCAATGGCTTAAGCTACTGGAAAATGACCGTCAGGTTGGTCCTCGCCAGTATGCCCAGGAAATCATTTGGCCCAAGTTGGCGCTAGAGCGACTAGCAGCCCCCGCGCTTCAGGTTTCTCAGCAAGAGCTGCAAGAGGCTTTCGAGTTACAGTTTGGCCCCTCCGTGCAGTGCCGCATTATCGTGACGACTGATCAGGCCAGCGCCCAAAAGGCTCATGCAGCCGCCGTGGCCAACCCTGACGACTTCGGCAACCTGGCCAAAAGCTTTTCTGAAGATGCCAGCGCCAGTTCCAAAGGGCTGATTCAACCCATTCGGAAACACATGGGCGATGACGTAATCGAGAAGGCCGCGTTTGCGCTGCAGCCGAATCAGATTTCCAATCCACTGGTCGTTGGAAACCAATTCGTCATCCTCAAATGCGAACGACATTACCCCGCTCAGAACGTCAATTTTGAAGCGGTCCGCGAGCGTCTCACGCAAGCCATCCGCGAGCGCAAGCTTGGCGACGAGGCCAACAAGTTGTTGGCCGACTTGCAGGCTAAGGCCCAGGTACAGAACACATTCAACGACCCACAGCTGCAGGCCCAGCACCCTGGTGTGGCGGCCATTGTGAACGGTCGGAATATCACCATGCGGGAGTTGGCCGAGGCCTGCATCGACCGTCATGGGTCTGAGGTGCTCGAAGGAACGATCGATCGCAAGCTCTTAGAACAGGCTTGCCGCTCGAAAAACATTCAGATCTCGCAGGAAGACCTTAACAAAGAGATCGCCCGAGCCGCGAAATCCATGGGTAAAGACGTTGACACCTGGCTTGCCGAACTGAAAGAGCAAGGTGTGGAGATGGAACTGTACGTCCATGACACCGTATGGCCTACCGCGGCTCTGAAGAAGCTGGTGGGTACCGAGGTCGAAGTTACCGATGAGGACCTGCAAAAGGGCTACGAAGCCAACTACGGACCCCGTGTGCGGTGCCTGGCGATCGTATTGAACAACCAGCGACAGGCCCAAGAGGTCTGGGAAATGGCCCGGGCCAATCCATCGAAAGAGTATTTTGGCGAGTTGGCAGCCCAGTATTCGGTTGAGGCCGGCAGCAAAGGGCTCAAGGGCGAGGTTCCGCCGATTCAGAAGCATGGTGGTCAACCGAACCTGGAGAAGGAAGCATTCGGCCTGAAGCCGGGCGAGCTGTCCGGGCTCGTTCACATTGGAGACAACTGGATCATCCTGCACTGCCTGGGACGAACTACCCCCACGCCGGTGAACTTTGAAGACGTCCGCGACGAGATCTTTGCCGACCTGCTGGAGAAGAAGCAGCGGATCTCGATGGCGAAGACCTTCAGCGGAATGCAGAAAGTGGCCAAGATCGACAACTTCCTCGACAACACCTCAACGGCCCACAGCCGAGAACTCTCTGCCGATCTCCCGGCCAGTTCCCAACCGCAAGGCCCGCCGGTTCGTCGCACGACGGCCACAGAGCCTGCTCAGCGGCCCAAACGATAAGTTTCCCCCACAACGTGTCCCAGTCTGTCACTGCTCTCTTGTGCGGCCTCACAGGGCCTTTCAGGGTGGTATTGGCTGCCCTTTTCCGGTGCCGCAACCGGAAAATCTGCCAGTTTGACACCCCTTGGGTGATGGGTATATTGAGCTGTTTGGCGCGTACCATTCACCGACAGTCAGGGGGGGCGCGTCTTCATCCCCATGGTCAAACTTATTCGAGCAGGTAGATGGAGAGCGGCTTACTGGTGGAAAATCGATCTGCCATTGAGAAGGCCGACGTTCTAATTGAGGCGCTACGCTGGATTCGCCAGTTTCGCGAGAAGGTGACCGTCATCAAGTTGGGCGGCAGTCTGATGGAAGATGCCGAGGCAATGCGGCACCTTCTGATCGACATCGTCTTCATGGAGACCGTCGGCATGCGGCCCGTCGTGGTCCATGGTGGCGGCAGCGCCATCAGCAAGGCCATGGCTGAAGCCGGGATCGAGCCGAACTTCATTCGAGGCAGACGCTACACCGACGCTGCAACGCTTGAAATCGTCGAACGCGTCCTGGCCGGTGAGACCAACCGCCACATCGTCGATTCGATCAACCGTTACGAGGGCGTGGCCGAACAGCTCAACTTTAGTACGACCAACGTTCTCTTCGGGCGTAAGCTCGAGTTAGAGGATACCGAGAACGGGGGCTCACCTATCGACTTGGGCTTCGTCGGCGAGGTCACCCGTGTGGATGGGAAGAAGATCCTCGATTTGTGTCAACGTGGCGTAGTACCTGTTATCCCGTCGATGTGCTTGTCGGATGACGGTAACGGCGAGAAGTTCAACGTAAATGCCGACACGGCAGCCACGGCTGTGGCCTTGGCCATGGATGCCGAGAAGCTGGTGTTCCTCAGCGATGTGAACGGAGTTCGCCGCGACAAAGAGGACCCGGATTCGTTGATTCACTCCCTCACCGAGAGTGAGGCCCAAGAGCTGATCGATAGTCGTGTGATCGATGCAGGCATGATCCCCAAGATTGAGGCCTGCCTGGACACGCTTGAACGCGGGGTCCGCAAGGTGCACATCATCGACGGCCGATTGCGGCATTCCTTGCTATTGGAGATCTACACGAGCCGCGGTGTGGGGACCGAGCTCGTTCAAGATCGTTGATGCCTTCCTTTGGGCGGCTCAAGCTGAGTTGCCCGTGGTGTCTTTGTTTACATCCATTGATTGACTCACACTATTTGATTTCCCGAGCCGGCGTGAACCTTGTTGCGGAATAGAGAATCGTAACAACATCTGTTTGTTAACCCGTGTATAGCCTTTTTTAAGAGAGGGGAAACGACCGTGACGACGACGGCCCCGACTTCTTCGACCGACGTGAAGGCACTCTTCGAGCGATACGTGATTCCCAATTACGTCCGCTATCCGCTGGCGCTGGTGCGCGGCGAAGGCTCTTACGTATGGGACGGGGAAGGTCGTCGCTACCTCGATTTGTTCCCGGGCTGGGGGTGCAACCTGTTGGGCCACTGCCCTCCCCGAGTGGTGGAGGCGGTTCAGGAACAGGTTGCCACGCTGATTCATGTTCCCAACACTTGGTACATCGAAAGCCAAGGCCGTTGGGCAGAAATGCTCAGCGAGCGAAGCTTTGGTGGTCAGGCGTTCTTCTGTAACTCGGGTGCCGAAGCCAACGAGGCCGCCATTAAGCTGGTCCGTCTGCACAGCCCTAAGCACAAGTACAAAATCATCACCTTCGAGGGAGGCTTCCACGGACGTACGTTGGGAGCCACCACGGCCACGGCTCAACCCAAGTATCACGAGGGGCTAGGGCCATTGATGGCAGGGTTTGTCTACTCGCCTTATGGCGACTTGGACGCAGTGGAAAAGCGGATCGACGACGAAACGGCCGCCATCATGATTGAGCCCGTGTTGGGCGAAGGCGGCGTTAAGATCCCACCCCCTGGGTTCCTCGAAGGGCTGCGGCGACTGGCCGACGAGCATGAGCTGCTCTTGGTGTTCGACGAGGTCCAAACTGGCTGCGGACGGACCGGCAAATGGTTCGCCTATCAGCACACCGATATCCGGCCCGACATTATGACGTTGGCCAAGGCCATCTGCGGCGGAATCGCTGGGGCGGCCTTACTCACCACGCCCGAGATCGCTCCCAGCCTTCGACCGGGGATGCACGCCGCCACCTACGGGGGCAATCCGATTGCTGCCCGTGCCGGCATCGCGGCCTTACAGACCATCGAAGAAGAAAACCTCCTGGAAAACGTCTCGCGAATCAGCGAAGTATTTCGCACGCGACTCGAGGCCCTGGCCGAAGAGTGCGAGCTAGTGAAGGAAGTTCGCGTGATGGGGGCCATGATCGGAATCGAACTTGCCGTGGAAGGTGCTCCGGCGGTCAGCGCCTGTATGGAGCGTGGGTTGTTAATTAACTGCACGCAAGGCACCGTCCTGCGGTTATTGCCAGCAATGAACTTGACTGAAGAACAAGCCAATGAGGGCTGTGAAATCTTGGCCGACGTTATCAAGCAGTTGGAAGCCTGATTGGCGTTGGTAAGCAACTTGGAGTCAGCCCTTTGAAATCGAATCTAGAGAGTCCGCCCGAAATGCGACATCTCATTACCCCCAGCGACTTGTCGGCATCGATGATCGATCGGATCTTCGCGATTACCGAAGATCTCAAGACCAAATACGCAACAGGCCTTCGCGAGGCGATTCTGCCTGGTCGGGTCATGGCCATGTTGTTCGAGAAGCCATCGCTTCGCACCCGGGTGAGTTTCGAGGCTGCGATCGCCAACCTGGGCGGCAGTAGTCTGTTCTTGGGAGATGACGTCGGTTGGGGATCTCGCGAAAGCGTGGCCGATTTCGGCCGTGTGCTCAGCGAGTACGTCGATGTAATCATCGCGCGGACCAAGAGCCATCAGTCGGTCGTCGATCTGGCCAGCTATTGCACATGCTCGGTCATCAACGGATTGACCGATTATGTGCATCCCTGTCAGGCCTTAGCCGACTTGTACACTCTGCGAGAGCATTTCGGCAGCCTGAAGGGCCGCAAACTCACTTTCATCGGCGATGGGAATAACGTGGCCCGCAGCTTGGCGATTTGTTGTGGGCGGATGGGAATGCGGTTCGCCATCGCCACGCCGCCTGAGTACCGCCTGGATGACGATTTCCGGGAGATCCTTGCTCGGCAGGTTCCGGAACTCGATTTGGAAGAGACGGACGATCCGGCAGCCGCCGTGGCCGACACGTCGTGTGTTTATACCGACGTGTGGGTGAGCATGGGGCAAGAGGAAGAAACTCAGAAGCGTCTCCGCGACTTCGCCAATTTTCAGGTCGACTCGAAACTCATGGCGAAGGCCCCCGATGATGCCGTGTTCATGCACTGCTTGCCAGCCCGCCGTGGAGAAGAAGTTACCTCCGACGTGATCGATGGTCCCCAGAGCGTTGTGGTTCAAGAGGCCGGAAATCGCATGCACGTGCAGAAGGGTATCCTAGCTTGGATGCTGGGGCCCGTGGCTTAGCGAGCTGATTTTGCATCATCAAGAAGTGTGCCCATCAGGAGTGATTGTGTCACGTCACGATAAGCGTCGCGCCAACGAACTTCGTCCCGTGAAAATGCGACGACGGTACACGCGTCCCTCCCCGGGCAGTGTCTTGATGTCGGCCGGCGGTACCACCGTGTTATGCACGGCGAGTGTCGATGAATCGGTTCCGCCCTGGATGAAGGAAGCCCAGCGCGGTTGGGTTACGGCTGAGTACAACATGCTGCCCGGCAGTACCAGTCCTCGAAAGCAGCGCGATCGCAAGAAAGTCGATGGTCGCACAACCGAAATTCAGCGATTGATCGGGCGAAGCCTGCGAGCGGTCGTCGATCTCGAAGCACTTGGGCCCTATACAATCACGGTCGATTGCGATGTGCTCGAGGCCGATGGCGGTACTCGGACGGCAAGCATTTCGGGTGCCTTCGTGGCCCTGGTCGATGCCGTACATTCGATACCCAACCGTCCCCTCCCAGATCGGTCGCCGTTCATCGACAGCGTGGCTGCTATTAGCGTGGGTATTGTGGACGGCAAGCCGGTTCTTGACCTCGACTATCACGAAGATGTGCGAGCAAGCGTCGATATGAACGTGGTGATGACCGGTTCGGGCAAGTTTGTTGAAATTCAAGGCACTGGCGAGGAAGCCACGTTCGACGACGATGAACTGGCCGAAATGCTAAAGCTGGCCCGTGCTGGCATCAAACGCCTGGCTGAGCAGCAGGAAAAGACCCTGGGGCGAAACTGGCCACTTTCCTAAGCGTGCTTCAGCTAAGGCTGGGGTCCTAGCACAGGGCTTGGTTCTTGATCCTCGGACCCTGAGAGCCGATAGGGCTTTTGCTGCTCGTAGAGTTTCACCCTCGCTCTGATGTCATCCTTTTGGTCATCAGGGCTAAGCTCTTCCGCTTGTTTGGCCGCCTCGACAGCACGCTCGAAGTCGCCCTCTTCAGCTAATGCGGCAGCCAAGACATCGTTGACATTCCAGTGTGGCACCGCGGACGAATCTGGGAGCGTCTCCAGGAGTGATAGTGCCCGGGGACCGTCGCGGAGCGATTTTTGTGGCACTGTGGCCAAGAGCCATGCCAATCGAAGGCGTACATCGTCGCGGGTTTCGTCCACGCCCAATCCTCGTGAAAGCCGCGTGATTGCCTCGTCATATTGCTGTGTGGCAATCGCGGTTTCAGCCGACTCGAGTTCCGCGTCGACGATCTTGGCCTGAGCGTGCAGTCGTGCCAGGGTGAGCGTGTCTTGGTCGCGGTCGGGCTCGTTCCAGCGGGACTCGATCTCGGCAGAGTCTTCGGGATAAACCGCAACCAGATGGTCGCGGAGTTGAAGCAGGGCGAGGTCATCGCCAGCGGCCAAGTAAAAGGGCGTGCTTGCATCGTCACGTCGCGGCATGTGACAGTCGATGCAGTTCCCGGCGATGCTATCCCCCAGCCGCTGCGAGGCCCCGCAGTGTTCAAGCTCGTGGCAGCTCATGCAA